TCATATGGCTAAAAGCATTATTATCTCTAAAGATCTGCCACCTTCAGCCAATTCATTATTTTAAAAAGCTGATTTTCCACTTCTTTGAATTTTGTTACTCATATGGCTGAAAGTCTTGTTATTTCTGAGGATTTGCCTTCCTAGAGATATTTCCACAGGGATTTTGGGATCTATTCTTCCTTAGATATCTGGCCCACAAATTTATAAGCAATTCAGTTTTTTTTTCCCGTTGAAAGAAATGTCCATCTGGGTTCAGTTCCAAGTGGGGAGAAAGACACTGGAAACATGGACACTGCTTGGAAAGATGGTTTAATGGTGAACAGGACCACGTGGTTTGAGGTCCTGGGCAAAAAGAGCACATGGGTGAGTGAGAAAGTGAGTTGGGCTTTGAACTTGCTTCCTGTTCCTGTGGCAAGAAATGTATCCTGATTGGTTGTCAGACTCCCATGCTTGGTTGAATCTTGCTTGGTGATGATGTAATGAAGGGGCTTTGGGCAATTCCTATTATGGCTTAATGGCTTTGCCCTGGTTTGGATCTTGAGTGAGGGCTAATCCTATCATGTCCTGAGGGCCATGTCTTTTGTGTTGTAGATAAGGTGGCCCAGCCTTTTGTCTAGTAAATAACCAAAGTATCTGCTGGGGGCAAGGAACTGGGGCTGAGTTTCTGTCTTAAGATTTCTATTTCTCTTTTAGGGGAAATATTCTGCCTTTTTAATATTTCCTAGAATATTTCATTTTTCTAAGAGAGGGGTGGGTGCTAACTTCCTACACTCCTATGGAAAAGTGTTTTATTTTTTTATTGTTATCTTACTTTGATTCCCCCCCCCAAATCATAATTGCCAGAATGCAGAAAATAACTACTCATGACTTTCAAGCAACCCCTTCTGATTCCTGTAAATCTGAGATAACTCCAGCAGATTACAGCATACAGCAAGAAAGAAAGGGGGGGGGAATGGAATGAATATTACTGGGCTCTGGAGATTCAAGAAGAAATAAGACTGCATCTCTGTGACTGTACTTGGGTCTAAATTGCAGAATTAGATTCTGGAAAGATTATTCCATAGAGGTGGACCATCTGAATCTCATTAGGTTTTGCTATATCCAGTCTGAAGTTGTGGAGAACAAACTTACTCAGGCCATAAAGCAGAGAAAGTAAGCTTGTTCCCTCAACTCAGATATATAGTTTGAACAGGGGTCTCCAACCTTGGCAATTTTAAGACTTGTGGACTTCAATTCCCAGAGTTCCTCAGCCAGCTTTGCTGAGTTCAACCCTGGCAGTTGAAGTCCACAAGTCTTAAAGTTGCCAAGGTTGGAGACCCCTGGTTTGGAAGACAACTTCATTAATCCCAGAGACCAAAGAATTACCTAGTTACGGGTACATAATAACAATATCTAGATTAAAACGGCTTCAGGATAGAGTTGCCAATGATGAAAAACTGCCAGAAGCATCCTAGAATTGTGGGCCAAACCTTCTAAAATATAGGCAGTTGATATCATCTTGGTATTGCCCACCTCATAAAACTTCACAAAAATATTATTTTTTGAAATAGCATTATTACATGGATTTTTGTTGTCGTTGGTTGCGAAGTCGTGTCTGACCCACCACGACCCCATGGACAACGTTCCTCCAGGCCTTCCTGTCCTCTACCATCCTCTGGAGTCCATTTAAGCTCACGCCTACTGCTTCAGTGACTCCATCCAGCCATCTCATTCTCTGTTGCTCCCTTCTTCTTTTGCCCTCAGTCTTTCCCAGCATTAGGCTCTTCTCCAGGGAGCCCTTCCTTCTCATTAGGTGGCCGATACACAGATTTATACTTTTCTAAAAATATAGGATTGTTTCTTAATCGGATATTAATAATTAATGTACAAAGAAATGTAAAGCTTTACATTAAATTGCTCTATTTATAAAATGTTTGCAAACATGCTGATACAATCAGTGCAGTTTAATGGTTAAGGTGATGAATTTAGCTAGTCTCTGGTGCTTCCTTAGCTATAAAAGCCCAGCTGGACAATCTCTCACCTTTAGATTGGAAGTTGAAGAACATTTATCTACCAACCAGCATTAACCCAAATGGATTAAGGTCCATAACTTTAAATGAAGAGGCCTTCATCTGCAGCGGATTGATTCAAGACCAGTAACATTAAATGCAACAGATCAATAATATAACTTTTTCTCTGCATAAAGTTAAGCAAACAAGTAGAGGAATTATTGGAGGCATGGCTGCAAACTTCCACTGAGGTTCTTGGTGTAATTACTGTATTAGCTGGATATTAAGAGGGCAGTTTCCAAGATCTTCCCTGACTCATGGGATCATGCGCATGAGACAAGATTGTGGAATGGCTTGAGAAAACATTCAGGTTGCAAGTTTATACCTGTCCATCTTCTAAAGAGTTGCTTGGGCTTAGAGCTCCAGGCTGATGTTGTTGGTCTTCACCTATAAAGTCCTTCATGGCTTGGCTCCAAGTTAAGTTCATGACTACGTTCTCCGCACTATAATCAGCCCAACCAATTCATTTTTCATTTTTTTTCATTTTATTTGGTTTGTATACCGCCCTACTCCTGAAGGACTCGGGGCGGTGAACAGGCACAAGATAAAACACATAGAATACAAAAAATTTAAGAGCAGAAGTAAAATCGAATTAAATCAATTTAGCCCAAGACAAATTTAAAACCCCAGGTTAAGAACAAATTTAAAATTTACATTAAAATTTACATTAAAAAGAGAATGGGAGAGGTTAGGCCAGACCAGCCTGGTGAAATTAAAAGGTATTGAGAGCGTGGCGGAAGATGCATAGATCCGGGATCCTCCGTATCTCCGGGGGGAGCTCGTTCCAGATAGTAGGTGCCCCCACAGAGAAGGCTCTCCCCCTGGGGGCCAACAGCCAACATTGTTTGGCTGACAGCACCTGGAGGAGTCCCTCTCTGTGAGAGCGTACCGGCCGGTGGGAGGCCGTTTGCAGCAGCAGGCGGTCCCATAATAACCAGGCCCTAAGCCATGGAACGCTCTAAAGGTGGTAACCAAAACCTTGAAGCGCACCTGGAAGACCACCGGGAGCCAGTGCAGCTCGTGCAGGAGAGGTGTTACATGGGAGCGCCACGTCGCACCCACGTGGCCGCACTCTGCACCAGTTGGAGCCTCCGGGTGCTCCTCAAGGGGAGCCTCATGTAGAGAGCGTTGCAGTAGTATTTCAACTTACCTAGGGAAATGTCCTGGTCAGGGGTGGGTTCTACTTACTGTTACTACCGGTTCACAACAGGAGTGCACGCAGATCGTCCATGATGACATCTGGGTGGGTGGGCAGAGCCTCCCGCCGCTTTTACTACCAGTTCGCCACAACCGGACTGAACCGGGAACAACCCACCACTGGTCCTGGTGCTTCTCTACTTTTGGAAAGTGGGGGTGGAGGGTGGGGTGAGGTGAGGCGAGGCGAGGCGAGACCCAGGGGTGCTGCTTTTTGATAGCCATTCTGGACCTTTGGAATATCCCCCAGTAGAAATTGGGGCATGCAGGGTTTTGTGGGGACATTAACAGGTTCTGGTCCTTTTGGGGATGGTGCCAGTAGTATTCAGCCGGTTCGGACCAGTTTGGGCGAACTGGTAGACCCGCCCACCTGCTCTGGCACTATGCATTCCTATTTAGCCACGTTTTCTAAACCGTGTGCATGTGTGCAAGCCGCACATGCGAGCAAAGCACATGCGCGGAAGGTGCACTCACATTTTTGGTGCGCGGCGAACCGGTGGCAAAATTATGTAAAACCCACCTCTGGATGGTGCGGAAGGAAGTGTGTGGATTGGAGAAGGTGTGCAAGGAAGGGGGCAGGTTGCCCAGACTAAAAATACTTTATTGCCAAACAAATCTGTAGGTGGAATTATAATCCAGGAATGGTTTCCAAGTGAAGCTGAATTCTGTATCCAATTTGTTTTTGAAATATGATTTCTGACATTGATCTATACTCCTACAACTTAATTCACCATTGTTTCATAGAAACCCAATTTTTAAGGAGAAGCAGAGTAATTTAGCTGCTGCAACTATACATGGTATAGTTGCATTGCATGACATGTGATATTTTAATATGTAGACCCAAACTAATATAACTGTGAATATCTAGTTTAATTTTGTAATGTTTGTTTTAACTTCTTGGGTTCCCCCCCCAATTATGTTTTAAAATCTTGATTGAACACAATTTGGAAAAAGGACTTAGATGGATGCTTTTAGTTTAGAATTGAAAACTTCAATCTTTTCACATAAAGTTTGATACTCCATGTTACTAAATTGCTGTAAGAATTATTCTTTCCAGGACTTCCGACAAATTTTAAGTTTTCTTTTTTTTTTTTTTATTGAAAAAGTTTTTCAAATACATGTATTTGTATTTGAAATTTTAAGTTTTCTTAATGGCTTCATGTGGGATCACAAGACGGATGACCAAACTCTATTACAATCTGTTGCCTGAGGGGTTGTGATATAAATCAGGCTATAAGAAGCAAAGGATGGGCAAGGATGGGTAACCAAACTCACAGTTAAGGGAATTCTACATCATATTTTTATTTCAAATTTTTATTTTTATTTCAAATTTATTTATTTATTTAATTTTTATTTCAAATCACAATCAACTAATTTTTCACCTTGATCTGGTTTCAATGCCTGGAATCAATGGCAGAATTATTTAGTTTAGTTTAGTTTAGTTTAGTTTAGTTTAGTTTAGTTTAGTTTAGTTTAGTTTAGTTTAATTTAATTTAATTTAATCTTATCATTTTAACTTATCTTATCTTATTTTTTAAAAAACAACACTTTAATCCACCAGCATGGAGCCTGGGACTCTAGAACTTTTGTTCTGAAAATGGGAGAGCCAGCACCTTGTGAACAGGTGGGTAACTTGGCAATATTACAACCTGTGGACTTCAACTCCCAGAATTCCTGAGCCAGCCATGAAGAATTCCTCTGCCAGTTATACAGAGCTGAGATCAATTCTGGTTGATTATTTAGGAAGGCAAGGAGAGATTCAAGGGAATCAAAAGGCTCCATTGTTTCATCTTAGTTGCTTATCTTTCATCTTAGTCTTTAATAGCAGTCTTCCAATATTTTGAGGGGTTGTCACAGAAAGGAGGGGATCCGCCTATTCTCTGAAGCACCTGAGGGCAGGACAAGAAGTAACGGGTAGAAGATCATTAAACAGAAAGCCAACTTAAAACTAAGCAGAAATTTCCCGATACTGAGAACAGTTAATTGGTGGAACAGCTTGCCTCCTGAAGTTGTGGGCGCTCCGTCACTGGAGGCTTTTAAGAAGAGGTTGGACAGGCATTTATCAAGAATGGTATAGAATTAGAATTAGAATTCTTTATTGGCCAAGTGTGATTGGACACACAAGGAATTTGTCTTTGGTGCATAGGCTCTCAGTGTACATAAAAAGAGAAGATACATTCGTCAAGAATTATAAGGCACGACATAATGATAGTCATAGAGTACAAATAAGCAATCAAAACATACTAGGAAACAATATCAATATAAATCGTAAGGATACAAGCAACAAAGTTACAGTCATACAGTCATAATTGGGAGGAGATGGGTAATGGGAACTATGAGAAGATTAATAGTAGTGCAGACTTAGTAACTAGTTTGACAGTGTTGAGGGAATTATTTGTTTAGCAGAGTAATGGCATTTGGGGAAAAACTGTCCTTGTGTCTAGTTGTTATTTATTTATTTATTTATTTATTTATTTATTTATTTATTTATTTATTAAATTTGTATATCGCCCTACTCCCGAAGGACTCAGGGCGGTGAACAGCCAAATAAAATACATATAATACAAATGTTAAAAACCGTTAAAATACTATTAAATAATTGGCTCAGAGAACGAAATTTAAAACCCCCAAATTCATAAGACAAAATTTAAAATTTAGAAATTTTAAAAATTTTAAAAAGTTTAAAAGAGAGGTTAGGCCAGGCCGGCCTGCTGGAAAAGAAATATTTTGATGGCACGGCAGAAAGCACGCAGGTTCGGGATCCTCCGTATCTCCGGGGGAAGCTCGTTCCAGATGGCGGGTGCCCCCACAGAGAAGGCTCTCCCCCGGGGGCCGCAAGTTGACATGGTTTGGCCGACAGCACCCTGAGGAGCCCCTCTCTATGGGAGCGTACTGGACGGTGTGAGGCTACTGGTGGCAGAAGGCGGTCTCGTAGATACCCCGGTCCTAAGCCATGGAGTGCTCTAACGGTGGTAACCAAAACCTTGAAGTGCACCCGGAAGACCACCGGGAGCCAGTGCAGCTCGCGCAAGAGGGGGGTTACATGGGAGCACCCCGTCGCTCCCATAACCACCCGTGCAACCGCAATCTGGACCAGCTGGAGCCTCCGGGTGCTCCTCAAGGGGAGCCCCATGTAGAGACCATTGCAGTAGTCCAGGCGGGAAGTGACGAGGGCATGAGTGACCGTATTTAACGAGTCCCGATCCAGAAAGGGATGCAACTGGCGAATCAGGCGAACCTGATAAAACGCCCTCCCGGCCACAGCTGTCAAGTGCTCTTCTAAAGTCAGCTGTGAGTCCAGGAGGAACCCCAAGTTGCGAGCCTTCTCCATGGGGGCCAATGACTCGCCCCCAATAGTCAGTGATGGCACCAACTGACTATATCGGGATGTCGGAAACCACAGCCACTCGGTCTTGTTCTGGTGTGCAGTGCTCTATAGCGTCGTTTTGAGGGTAGGAGTTGAAACAATTTATGTCCAGGATGCGAGGGGTCTGTAAATATTTTCACAGCCCTCTTTATGACTCGTGCAGTATACAGGTCCTCCATGGAAGGCAGGTTGGTAGCTATTGTTTTTTCTGCAGTTCTAATTATCCTCTGAAGTCTGTGTCTGTCTTGTTGGGTTGCAGAGCCAAACCAGACAGTTATGGAGGTGCAGATGACAGACTCAATAATTCCTCTGTAGGATCTCCTGCCTGGGCATAGATGGGGTAGTGGTGGACTAGAAGACCTCCAAGGTCCCTTCAAACTCTGTTATTCTGTATTCTGTATCTATTAACCCCTGGCAAGATCATGACAAGAACTGATTTCAGATCAGTCACAGTACTACCTAGGCTTGGGAAGATCTTCCTAAGAATTTCCAGTAATTTTGAAGTTGGGTGATTATAATAAGGACAGTTTAATGTAAACTAGGATTTTCGAAACAATGCTACCTTCAAGCCAGTGGCATAATGTTTGATTAAGTTTTAAATAACATATAGAACTCCTGTCAGGTTTCGAGGTCATCTCAAATAAATTGCATTTCAAACAAAGTCTTTGAAGAAAAACTCCTATTTATTAAGCACGACATTTTAGACCCGGCTCCATCGAAGCCAACACTGACTTCCAGCCCCAAAACCCTCCCTTTCCGTTCCCCACTCCCCTGCACTCATTGGCCATCTTCCAAGTCATTCTACCCCTAATCTACTCCAGCTCAAAGGAATTTCCCCCCTCCCATCCCATCTCCTAGGGGATATTATCTCCAGGGAAAATAAGTAGGTGAAAAGTCAAACGTCCCTTTCCAGACGCCTTCACTTCTCCTTCTTATGTCAGCATTAGAGTAAATGCAGCTTGAAATGCTGACAACTCCCATTTGACCCCCATTTGAAAAGACCCCTTACAAAGGAAGCCATGGTGGAAAATAAGCCTTGAGGAACAAAGGTCTTCTGCCCAAATATCTCTGGTTTTGGAGAAACTCACAGCTCAGGCAGTACGCATTACATTTTTGGAATTCAATTACGTATTGCTCAAACAATTGCTTACTTGATACTCTATTATTATAGATGAACTTTTAATGTTATGATCTGTCTGAGAAATCAATTAAAGCTTTCCGAGTGAAACAATGAGAAATGTACAAACAAGTAGAGTACTCATATCTAATGATCTAAGTGCCAAAGCCCACTGTAACAACATCGCCAAAAAGGCATTAAGAGTTGTAAACCTAATCTTGCATAGTTTCTTCTCCGGTAATATCACACTACTAACCAGAGCATACAAAACATTTGCTAGACCAATTCTCGAATACAGCTCATCTGTCTGGAACCCGCACTGCATATCGGACATTAATACAATTGAGCGCGTCCAGAAATATTTCACGAAAATTGTCTTCCACTCCTCTGCTCACAACAAAATAACTTATGCTACCAGACTTGAAATTCTAGGCTTAGAAAACTTAGAACTATGCTGCCTTCGGTATGACCTAAACATAGCTCATAAAATTATCTGCTACAACGTCCTACCTGTCAATGACTACTTCAGCTTCAAGCACAACAATACATGAGCAAATAATAGATACAAACTCAAGGTAAACCGCTCTAAACTCAATTGCAGAAAATATGACTTCTGTAACAGAGTGGTCAATGCCTGGAATGCACTACCAGACTCTGTGGTTTCTTCCCCAAACCCCCAAAACTTTAACCTAAGACTGTCTACTGTTGACCTCACCCCATCCCTAAGAGGTCTGTAAGTGGCATGCATAAGTGCAGCAGCGTGCCTACCGTCCCTGCCCTAATGTTTCCTCTATTTGTATCTATTTTATGTATTCAATTCATGCTTATACTTACATATATTACTTAATATGTTCTTGACAAATAAAATAAAATAAATAAAAAATATAATAAAAATAAAATAAAGTAAATAAAATAAAGTATCCTAGTGTGCAAAACTGGAACTGTTAAGAGCCTTGGTAGTACAGTGGTCTAAAGCACCCTGTTATTAAGACCAGCTGCCTGCAATTACTGCAGGTTCAAATCTCGCCAGGCTCAAGGTTGACTCAGCCTTCCATCCTTTCTAAGGTAGGTAAATTGAGGACCCAGTTGTGGGGGCAATAAGCTGACTTTGTATAAATATACAAAAGGATGAAGGCTATTGCTTAACGCATTGTAAGCCGCCCTGAGTCTCCGGAGAAGGGCGGCATATAAATCAAATAAATAAAAAAAAAAAAAAACTGAGGAGGAATTAAAACTTTACAGAAAGGGCTATAAATTTCAAGATAAAGAAGGGAAATGTGGCTTTACTTTCACATTAAATTATATTTTTTAGGTATCATAACCATTAGAGTAGATGAATGTGAGCTGAATCATGACATGAACTTGAGGAAGCTGCTACTTCAAATTTCTCATATTACAGGGTTTAAAGCAAAGCCTCTGAATCAGAACCCCACAATCGAGAAGCCCCCAAGGACATGAATGATCCATCCATATGGCTGGCAAGCCTCAATTATTTGCTGTGAGAGGGCTGGAAGTCATCTTCAGGCCTGGTTGGGATCATTTTAGCCTTGGCAACTGAGCTTGACTCAAGACATGGTAAGCTTTGATATTAAACATGACATTTTCTACTTGTATACATGTTTGCCACGTAAACCTTTTTCTTAAATATAGAAAGATGAGCCTGCTCTCTGTATGAAATTACTGGTTCACAAACGAAAACCAAGTAACAAAACAACAAAACAAAACAAAACAAAACAAAACAAAACATGAAATTAGGCACTGCCATGCCCTTAGATGATCCCTTGCCTTTTTTAATGTCAGTATAACTGACAGTTGAATTAACCATCCAGTGTTACAGAAAATCATAAAATGACAGTTCCAGTCTTTCTAGAAAGCTTTTCTCCTTGAAGACGTCTCCTTCTAGAGCAATTTACTGTTATTTTACTAGGTTGTTTGGTTGTTATGTTAAGTTTGTCTAGAAGCTCTACACATTGTTGTATTCATTTTCCTATTATATCTTTAAGTACAAACATTTGTCAGCCTGACCTGGGAAGATACTGGAAAAGATGATCAAAAAATAGATCTGCGAACATCTAAAAACAAAGTTATAAGTAGAAGCCAGCCCGGGTTTGTTAAAAACAGATCATGCCAAACCAATCTTATTCCATTATTTGACAAAGTGACTAAACTAGTAGACCAGCGAAATGCCGTAGACATAGTATACTTAGACTTCAGTAAGGCATTTGACAAAGTAGACTCAACCTACTTCTTGGTAAGCTAGAAAAATGTGGGGTAGACAGCATCACCACCAGATGGATTTGTAACTGGCTGACAAACCATACTCAACAAATAGTTCTTAATGGTACTACATCTTAACGGTACTAGAGAAAAGAAGGACTAAGTGTGACATGATAGCAGTATTCCAG